TCAATTGATACTTACATCATCAGCTTCTTGTACCAATTTTGTGTCTTCCACCTGTACAACTGCATCTGCTCCAGGGGGTATTGGTGCACCGGTTGTTATCCTAACACACACACCAGGTGTAACTCTATCAAGTGGTACAGAGCCAGCAGTGCTATTACCAGAAACATGACGAATTCCAGATCCATCAGATGCTTAAAAAAACACACCAAGAAAAAAACATCACTGCAGTTAAACTGTAGAACCAGAGCAAACAAAAGGTAGAAAAGTATAATGGAAAGTTATAAATGATTTAGGGCTATACTAGTGCGGACAAGATACAAGTAAACTATTCCATTAGTTGCAAATTAATTCCGTGAAGTTCAGGGATTTCTAATCATCTAAAATGCAAAATTATTAGGCCTACCAAGAACTGCATAACCATCTTTGATTGATGCTGGAAAGGGTGGTACAGGATGCTTTGCTAAAACATCATTTGCCAAAACTCTACCTAAGGCATCTATAAAAACAAATTATATAATAAAAACAATTTCAGACATTAAATTTAAATAAAAAAGAATATGTCTACAAAAAACGTTTTAATAGATAACACAATACATTAATGATAGGATGGAAATATTTTTATATGAATGAGACGCATGAAGAAAGCCCACAAATCAAACCAGGCGAATGAATTAACATAAAAAAATAATTTAGATGGCAAATATGAAATATCAAATTTTCCAAAATCTACATGCCTTTCAAATCAACAACTTCTGTTTCTATACCATAAGCATTATTCATCACCATGGCAACAGCATCTTCAAAGCTTGTAATTGGATAAGGTGAATGTCGCATTCTTCTTGCAACTTTTGTGACATCATCATTACCTACAGTAAACAATAACATATCAACACAATATCAACTTAAATAAATGGTCTATAACCAACCTACATCTGATGAAGAAGAAAAAGTAACCATGTTAATCTAGATGATAAACAGTAAATTGAAGACAGACAGCTCTTTACAGACTAACAAAGTTTACTTATACACAAAAGTTTTCGATCACACAGTGGTCGTGGTCTGCATGATGATGACCACTGTGTGATCATTTTGAAGAAATACAGTACTTTACAGACTAACAAATTTTACCCATACACACAAGGGCGAGTCAAATAGCTGGGCAGTTAAGGCAGGGGCGCCGCACCCAACAGCCAAAAAATCGGCGCTGGTTCAATTAACAGCACACTCACCTATGGTTCTGGAGGTGTAACAAGTCTTCTCGGATAAAATGTGATTGGCTCATGTGCACTATAAAGAACCCAGTACATCTTTCGAGATGAGTAGGGGTTACCCTGGTGTACTGGTCCATACAGCCCCTGTTGTTGGTACCAGTTTTCCAGCCAGCTCAGACAGGAAGAGACCCTTAGGGGTGAAGAAAGTTACTGTATGAGCTCCTATAGCCCACGGCTTTGAGCACTATGATCATTATGAAATAGCGCTATATAAATGATATGTTAGCTTTCAACCACATCAGGCCCGTATTTAGGGGGTTCGGGGGGTTCGTCCGAACCCCTCCGCGGGAGATAGAGTTCCGTGAAAATTAGGAAGATTTTTTCATTGCCGTTTTATTCTGTAGGCCTACAAAAGCGGGATAAAACTAAAATAGTACATACTGTACATGTAGTTGGAGAATTTGATTGAGTTTACTAATAAAAGTTACTATTATGATAAAATCGAAAAAATTATAAGTCTCGCCTTATTTAAAGCACTAAAAATATATATTTATTTATACTGTAAAAGAGCCTGAGGCCTATCACACTGAATAAAGTCCCCATTTAGGGGAGAGAAGAAGTATGTGGGTTTTGATAAGGAGTTCCACATAGTCCCAAGCCGAACCCCCCCCCCTCCATTGAAATTCCTAAATACGGGCCTGCACACAGTGGTAGTGGTCTTTTTGCTGATACCCAAGACCTTCAGAGAATTTGCAAAGAATTAAGGAGTGATATTGTGCGCCTGTTAAAATTGGCTAATACAATACTTAGATATAATAAAATGATATACCCATTATCCTTATCATTCTTACTAGATTATTAAAATAAGTTGTAAAAGCCATCATGTACTTTGTAGCAAAGCTAATTGTAGTACAGGTTACAAGCAAAAATATAACATACAAAGGGAAACATCCAGCAAAAATCACAAAAGAAACATCATCATCATTGCCAATTTCATTATTGAATTGGATTCCGAATAGCATCCCACATCCTTTGTACCTCTTTTCATAAAAAATACTAATTCCAACCCGAAGTTTTGTTATTGTTGTAATGCACTCTAGCAAAATATTGTATTATGAAAGAATTTTAAATATACATTTTAACACATTTTTAAGAAAACTTATAAAAAGTTTATACAGGGCAAGTACTTACTTTTATGTTTACAATGCTGGGACTTCACATCGTCATGATGAACTTCACTGCAACTGTGATGCTACAAAATAATATTTTAACCAAACCTTTTTTGTGTTATTACTTCTATGTACACTGCACATAAATCCAATAAACTTGAAAATTATTTTGAATTTCTTACTTTTTAATAGAAACAATTTCAACACAAATCAACAGGCATGGGACATAGTAGCAGCTCTAGGATATATTTTCTGTGGGGAGGGGGTTGATAAGCTTTCCGCAAGGGGACTGGAGCTCATAGGCCCGAGCTGGGAGAAGGGTTTGGGATAGGGTTCCCCACCCAAATGAGATATTTTTAAGAATAGCAACCCCTGGATGGTTGGAAATGGCACTCTCAGACTGTGACCGACATGTGTTGGATTTATTGTGGCCTTTTTAGTTTTTAATTTTATGGTCTGACTATCCAACGGGGAACAGGTGGAGCCCCCCCCCCCTTGTTCCCTGCTGGCGCCACCACTGATGGGATATTCATCAGTGGCATCACTACCGTAGGTTCAGGTGGTTCAGTGAACCTGGGCCCCCTAGGTCAGTAAAATACAATGAATAAAACAATGCATATGACTAGCAATTATAACAAAATAATATTATATAATAGCTCTGTAATATTTACAAGGGCGGATTTAGGGTCCGACCTCCCCCACCCCCCACCCACCTTTGGAAAGCTAAAAAAAAAAGAAAAAGAAAAAGGAAAAAAGCACCTCAGAGGTTATTTTTGGCCGCCTAAAACACAAAATTTTGTGGACCCCTAGGATAATGTTATCTCAATCGACCCCACTTTCGGACCCCCTTTCGGACATTTCTGAATCTGCCCCTGATTTATAGTACTGTAGGACTAGAGTATGATTTAATGGTTACAAATTAATAAACAATTAAACATAATCCTATGCCTAGTTGTGAAAATTCGTCACACAAACGGATATCCTCATGGTGGATGAAAATCACCAGACAGCGAAAATCGTCATCTGAGTTCCACAAACCCAAGATAGAAGTGCCAACCCAAATCTGTATCACTAAACTGATTAGGAAACTTACATTTTCCCATATTCAGGCCAGTTAGATCAAACTAAAAATAATAAGTTACCAACAAATTTTGGTATTAACCAAACTGTCCTTTCTAATTTCTCTATTGTAAAGACTATACCGCTGATTTTTGCCAGGGACCTTTGCAGCCATTGGTTCAAGCTTGGATTAGCATCATCCATCTACTGTACACATCTCCTTTATCTAGAATGAGGTTCACATACTCAATCTCAAGCCCTTTTTGTTAAATCCAATAATTCACAACAAAAATTCAAGTTTCATATGTAAAACTCTGCTTGAAATATTTAGTGTGTCCTCGAAAATGACTTAGATTGCACAAACAACAATGATTTGTGTAATTTATTTTTATTGTAGCTCACTTGATGTTGGCCTTTTATACCTAAAATCTTCTTGTAATGGCTCAATTTTTTTTTCAAATTAAGACACTGTTTTCTGAGAGCGACCGTTCCAGACATCTAGAGGTACTAAACAATACAAATTTTGAACCTCAGTCATAGCCATGGTTGGGCCGAGTTGCATAGGCCTATGGACTCTCAAGCCAGCAACACTTCCCAATTTGGCAGCTATTAGTGTCAAAACTCCATCCATCACTCCATGCCAGCATCATTAAAATCTTCACCATCGTCACCATCATAATCACTATCTCCTCATTATCATCTCATGGTCTTAATTTTTTCCTGGTCATCCTTAAAGAAAACGGCGACCTCTGCATCACTGTAAAATCAACCTCATTCAAACACCCTATCACAAAAAGCTGGATAGGCCTCTGATTTAAGTGCTATATTAGCTATACTTTTATCACCTGTAGATATGTCATCTATGTACTTGCAAGAAGAATTGACTAAATAATTAAAACTGCTTATAAGGTACCGTAATTAGTAAAGACCTACTGAAAGCAAACACATCACAAGTTTTCAATGTCTCAAGCCAAATTCTGAAAGTTAAGTTTAATTAAAATCGTACCAGTCAGTATTGCAAATTCAAGATAATTATTAAGATTTAGTTAATTTTTTTCAGTGAATTTGAATGTATTATATGGCCCCTGGGAAGAGCAGTGTTTTTTCTTTACTGAGTGGTACTGAAAGTATGGTTATTTAAGAAATAAATAAACATGTCAAAGATGATACTATTTCTTTATCAACATAAAAGCTACATATATGACCTATTTAGGTTTCTTTCTCTTTCAATTATAATAGTCAAGCTTTTAAAAAAGAACACAATGTAGGATTAATATCATAAGCAGCTAAACTGTTATTCAACTGGGTGTGTGCTGAACCATGAAGAGTCTTGGACCCCAGTTCAATTCCATCACTGTCCTTATTTCAGCTCGAGGACAGACATGTATTTCAGAAGAAATGTATAAGTTGGTCCAAATATGTTCCCTTATCAAAAAAAAGAGCAACTTCCTGTTGTCAATTACCAACAAGTGCAGTGCATACTCTGGTGAAGAGGGATGCATTTTACACTATTAAAGAAAAATAGTAACATACAAATCTAAACGCATTAATTGTAGTAAAGTAAATTTTCTGTGGTTGGCATTTAATAATGAATTTCTCCTGTAAAAATGTGAATATTTTTGGGGGAATTAAACACACAAATTACACATTCCCACATCTTGCAATTGAAAACGAGTATGACTGTCCTTGTCAGGAATAATGGTATAACATGTAACTACAAATAAGTGAATGATGAAAGTAGAAACAGTCCTCAAATATTCATTCACCTTTTATATACAGTATCTACCTATATATTTTCACATTGTTATACACTGTAGCAATACTGGTAGGTGTGATAGCAGCCAGTCCTTTGCAGTGACTGTTACAAATAAAAGTCTTTTCCATTTATAAGATTTCATTTTTTAATCACAAAACATACAAAAGCTCAAATATCACTAATTGTATTCCTCACAAATTTTATTATAATTAAGGATATTCACAGATACTGTACCATAGTATAAAACATTCCTGTTAAAGTGTTACTTTTAAACTTTGAGAAGTACTTTTTAAAGTACAACAAAGTAATATTTTCCCTATGGCATTATTATTTAGTACAATTTGTTCCGTGGGAAGTCTCATCAGGTGGTCTCACTCAAACCCCTAACCTGTACATTGGCATCCCAATACACTTAAGTCCCTTTCAGACAGAAAATACCGCAATAATACCCTAATCACGCCGCCGTTATTGCCGGCGCAGACCCTTTCAAACAGCTAGTTAAAATCCGGTAATAATACCGTATCCTGTCTGAAAGGCTTCTTGCGTGAAGGAGTATTTGATGTCTGTGGCACTTGTGCTTTTTAACAATAATAATAACTTTATTGTTTCTCTTTTGTAACAGAGGCACAATCGCTATTGTGCAACAATAATAATTCACAATATAAGATTTAAGGAAAAAAAAACATATGTACATTGTCTAGCAATAGACATTTCTTACTATCCTAATACACCATCTAATAAATACAGTATTCATCAGTATTTTGAATATTTTTTTTTTTTTTTGGACAAAGAGAGAGTTAACAAAGAGGGCGCAAGTTTTTGTTTACTTCATTAATCCAATATGGCCAGAGATGAAGTCATAAAACTGCTGCTTTGCAAATGTTTTTTAATGCTTGCTATGTTTGCAATACATAAAAATTGAGAAACAGAAGGTTTCTAATGCTTTTCGTTCAAGGGAAGAAAGAATTTAGGAAGCGTTTAAGGCGAGGCCGGCTTGAATTTCGAGCAGCTAGGTGCAGGCGATTTTCGCGTCTAAAGAACTGTCAGCTAGCAATTTCATCGGCTTTGTTAGCTGCAGCAGCGGTTGATGGCTGCTCGTGTGACCGTCTGATTTGTTATGCCTCAGTGCGTAAGACGGCGATGAACCCTGTACCCGTTCACATCGAGTTGGGCAAAACTTGCTACGGTATTAATGCGGTATTAAGACTAGGTCCCGAGGAGGTCTAACTGAAGCCGACGTTTAGGCATATTTACCCTTTCACATAGAACGCCGGCGTTCGAGAAATACGGTATTAATACCGTTTTGCAGGTCTGTCTGAAAGGGGTAATATTCTTTGGTTGGTGGAGGGGAGAGTCAACAAGGCCCAAAGAAGTAACAAGCGGAACTTCACATTACCATTGTGACAAATGCTTCCACGTTCAAAAAATCCAAATTTAATATGGGAGAGCATACAGCCAAGACTTGATACCATGATCTACAACGGCAACGTATTCAGAAGCCACTCATTAAGGGTATGACAGTGATGGCTAGGTATGCCCAGAATACAAAAAATCTTGACACGCAAGGCCAAGATGCCATAGCCTTATTGGCTAATGCAAATTTGGAATTGTTGTGCCTGAGGAAAGAGCTACTTAAACCTGAGATTGTCAACCAGCTATGAAACCCACTGAGTTGTTATTTGGGGACATACGAAAAGTGGTTAAAGAACTGGACAACAACACAAACATTGATACATATCAAATATATGCTGTTGTAGTTGAATAAACTAGTTGTGACGACATTTTAACCCACCTCTTCCCACAGTTATTTTCGGAAATGTTCGCAGCCTAAAAAATAAAGTAGATGAATTACGTGCCAGCACAAAGTATTTGTCAGATTTTAGAGAAGCGAATGTTAAGTGTTTTTGTGAGACATGGCTAAACACAAACATTCCAGAAAGCGTTGTACAGTTTTTTCATTAATATTTAAACATATTCTAATAAATCCATAGCATTTATTTTCCACTTTTGTTGATATGTTAGTTATGACTTTTATCAATATAGTTTTGGTAACAGACGGATGGTAACAGACTGACAAAAGCTTTCATTTACAAATTACTTACACCCATCACTGCTGTTCCCAAGATCGGTGCTAATGAATAAATTGGGAGTGTTGAGAGTTGAAATATCAATGTGTCCCCACCCGAGACCTACTCTACTTTATCAGTTGTGGTGGATATCCCAAACAATTAATAAACAAATTTTATATACAATATGTAACTTATAATACAATTCAAACTAATTATCATAGAATGCCTACAAAGTCTGAACAAAATATCTAGTCCAGAAAGATAAGGATCATTTACATTCCATTCAATAAATATTTACAGTTTATTAATAATAACAAGGATATGTGAAATGTTACTCGGGACTCAATTAAAAATTTATTATGTTTATATGACTTGTCATTCTATTACCAAATTTACATATTCAATTTGCTGATCAACAACAAAAATTTATTTCATAAAAATAAAATGCTACCCCTATCAAAACTAGCTTTATGTAAACATTAAATATTTTCCAATACCAAACTTTGGAATTAATAAAAGGTTCATTAGTTTTGGTAAAAGACAGACACATTTATTACTTAGCCTTTAAAGTACTCTGATTGATAATTTTGAAAAAATACTTAAATATCAATCCTATTATTTTAAGTATTTTTAACATTATTTTTTATATCTAGTAATATATATTTGTACAGAATTTTGTTTAAGAGATTTATTTAGGAGATTATATAGATTAAATTCAATCTGAAGTTAATAATGTATTCAGAAAAAATAGAAAAAGTATCATATTACACAAACATTGTATATATATAAGGTGTCATCCACTTTTGCATAATTACCAAACTCAAATAGTAACTGATGTTTCAATGATTAAAGCAATATATACATATTGTATTGTAAGTCATCATGCTTATTTAGTCTGTTGGTACTTCAAATAACCAATGAAACTTTTTATTTTCTTGATGTGAGGAATTTCTCTGTCCTGGTTTTCTGCTTGAAGTCTTCTGTAGATCTCATTCAATGTACAACCTTCAGCAACCATACTTAATATACTATCATGCATTTCATCATCTAATTGTAATCTATCACTTGCCGGTGGTATCCAGCGAGTGGGGTTTCCAGGGGGAATATGGTCACCACTGATGCTAATAACCCACATTTTTATATTATTTGGATAAAGTTTTAAATTGATAAGAACACTGCAATTGTGTCGATCCTGTTTGTTAATTTTTCCTTTACAACCTGAAAAATAACCAGATCAGAAAAAAAGTAATCAATGAAAAAGAACTCAAACCATTACAGTTTCTAAATTTTTCCTTTACAGCCTACAAAATTATCAGATATAAAACAATTACGGAATGGAAAAAAAAAACAAATCATAATTTCTCTGCAAATACAAATTCAAGCCTGTAGGTAGGTCTAATTTTTCACAGTAAGGCAGGCAAACATGTTATAACACCTCATATTTTTAAAAAATTACAAATTTCAAATGTGTGAATTTTGACAAATTCCATGTAAAGGGTACTTTTTACTAATAATTTTAAAACATATTTTTTTTTCTCTGGGATTGAAATTCAAAGTACACAGACTTACCTACCTTCAACACATTGGCCGTATCCACCGCACTTGCGCAGACAGTTTCCATGACCTGGGCACCATATGTACCAATTAACAACATATTGCACTCTACGTTCCCGTCTCTTCATTTGCTGAGCTAACTTTTTTCCTTCTTCAGTTAACAAAAAGTGGTCATCATAGCGAACATTCTCATGAATACGCTGACCCCTCTGCCATGATTTGATCTTCATGGCTGTCTCTTGCCGCTGCATCTTAACAAATTTTCGCTTTACGTCACGTTTTCCATGATGCAGTTTTAACCCTTGGAGTAGGTCCAAATTAAGTAGGAACTTCTGAAGGCCAATCCCAACTGGTGCAATGTAGTTTCTTGTTGATACGTGACATCCATCGTCTTTTTTCTTACGTTTTGACTTTGAACTCTGACATTTGCCAGACCTTCTACAATGACTGACAACAGCTTCATTAGTTTTTTCAACATTCACACTACTCACATTGTCAGAAGATTCATAGTCATAGATGTCTAGAGAATCCTTTGTATTCCCAGGTGATTTAGTTAGAATTTTCTTTGAACAAATATTTGACTGTTTTTCTCTGCGAGAAACTGTTGACAAAAGTCTACTAATATCCATCTCAGACCCACCATCCTCGCACACTTCTTCATCTTCCCGCTCAATAACACAATTTTTTTCTTCATGGCAACTTGTCTTTGATTTTCTGCAACTACTACCACTGTCTGTAGCGCTCAAACTCTTAACACAATTAGCGCCACCTGCCAGATTTTCCATATGCCTTTCCATGTCTACATCATTTTCTCTGATTAAGTTCTCATAAAAGTTATCTCCACAATCAAGACTTTGGTTTACTTCTGGCGAAACATTAACTTCTCCTCTTTTCATATTCTGTTGGGAATCCCTTTTCCCAGAATTTCTGTTGGTGAGAGAATTACTTGTAAATTGTTCCCTACTTATGGTGAATTGTTGATGAGTATCACCTGACTTTGATTGATTTATAGTTGTCTCTGGATGCAATAGCAGTTCTGGTAAATTTATGGTACATTCAGGATGCACAGTTGAACCACTTAATGAATCCTGTGATATGTTTCCATCACCACCAACATCACAGTTGCTATCATCACAGGCACAGGAATCCCGATTAACATTCATTATGCAATTATCTAACATATCAATATTTGTTTTATGTCGCTTGATTAAAACGAAACACTCTTTGTCAAGGCCTGGTGATCTAAGATGCTCTGGGATGGATCTACCAAATAAATTTCTTTTCTTAGGCTCTTTTGATGAAACATATTTTGTGGATTCACTCATTTTTTGTTGATTCTTTCCTTGATCTTGAGATGAATTCTGCTTTTTCCCCTTGGATATATTTCTTTTCCATGATGAAGGCATTTCATCCAGTACCTAAAGACACCCAAAGTATGGTGGATTGGCTTTGATGAATTTAATATACACAAAAGTAAAAATAAAATAGATAAGACATGTAGAGACAAGTGAAAAATAAAATGTAAATGTATATATTAGGCCATAAAAAAAAAATTACAAATTCCCTAAATATCACTTCTGAAAATTAACATTTAAAACATAAAATCTAACAGACATGTATTTTTGACCCAAATCGGACCATGAATGCATGCACAAGGTCATTAAAATGCACGCAACATCAGATCTCTCACGCTGTCTACGCACGAAACTATCTAGGTCTAGCCTACTCATCTAGGCAAGCCATTTTCTACTACTACTGTCCTAGTACTTCATGTGGTTGCTGGAAACAAAGATCATTAAATCATTATGGTATATTGGAAAATTTAAAAAAAAGGTTTAGGCATAGCCATCACTTTAGCCTCCAACCTACTCGTAGTTTTAAGTTAAAGGTGAATAGAGTTTACAGAAATTGGCAGTGGTCGGCTAGCAAGGCTGGGCCTGGTTGGGACGGCATCATGAAACCTATATAGTCAAGCCTTGAGTTTAAACTGCAGTTCTACTGTAGGCATCAATATATCAATATAAAAATTTTTCCATTTAAGGGCAACACAATAACTTATATTTTTGGCCTTATACAGGTATATACTGGAATTTCTTGAAAATCAATAAGGAAAACTAGACTTGAACTCGTCACTGAGGATGAGCTAGGTGATCCGCTTGTCAGGCAAAATAAATCTCCCAGCGCTTAAAAGTGACTAAATATGGAAAAACACTGTAGCTGGGATTTTCAAACTGTGCAGAAAATATCAAGTCTGCTGCCCTCTCTCAGGTGGTCAAAGATTTAAAGAAAGAGGTTAGAAAAACATTCATTTTGACCATGATGACATCATCAAAGTGAAAAATGATTGAAACATTGTGAAAGGATATTGGCAAGAATATTATTTTTATTTTTTCCCACTGTTTTGTTTGATTGGACGTTGCCTACAAAAAATATCACTGGAAGGTGCCGAAGGCATCCTGGTAGTCCTAAAATGGCCAACATAAGACTGTTATCCAAAATTTAAAGATATGTTAATAGAAGAATCACTGATATTATATAGATGAAAAAACTATTAACCCAATCAGGTACTGGGATATTACACTGACTTAACCTTGATTTACTTGAGAACAACAGACATATTTATGAGCTCCTGGAGACATTCGACACGGAACCAGTATTGGGTACATATTAAACGCTCAGTAGACTTCTGTAAAAAACTAATGGTGTTGACAAGATTCATGCGAATGTACACACAGTGCTGATATTCTTAACTGAAATGTATGATAGAACAAAGAGCTATAGCTCACTAAATACGGCACAATGTGCACTCTCATCGTTTATAATTAAAAATAGCTTGCATACAATAGGTACCCACCCATGGATCAGTAGATTTGTTTGAGGAGTTTATATTTTGAACCCACCAACTCCTAGATACAATATTGTATTAAATTACTTAAGAAGTTTACCTCCTGTAGCCGATTTGGGACTCAGGGACTTAACATATCCTTTGTTCGAGCCACCTAGGCAGAGGTCCGGGAATGCACCAGGGTGGTGATGGATGGTGACCCCGAAGAGTATTTGCATCTATTTTGCCTATCTTTCCTTCCATGTCAGGTCTGTCATAAATAAATATACATAAAAATAAATAAATAATTTTGAATAAAATTAATTAATTCAAAATAATAATGCAGAAAAAATGCTACATTTACACTCTGCAGGTGGAAAACTGCACCGCGAGCAGCTGTACTAAGAGATGGATACGTGCGCCTAATAAGATGACATTTTTATCATATGGGCTATACATGCTTATTGCATTATTAACAGCACAGCGGTGCCAGACCCTTACATCTCCTTAGAACTGATTATATGGTTATGAACACAATTTCAGTCAATTTTAGTATTCAAGATTTACTCAAAGTAGACCAGGGAACACAGGTTTAACAGGAACCCAATCGTACCAAAATGCTGAAAGATTGTGAGTATATCTTCTATTAAATGAATACCTCCTTCGTACAGAGTCTCTCAGAGGTGACACTACACAGTAATTCTTCAGTTACAGGAAACCATATTGCGTTGTTACGAAGGAAACGATATCACGTTGGCTTCATACCGTTCTGTAGAAATCAGGCATTGATACAAACTTTACAAAGCACACTAAAAGCGAGCAGCAGCAGTTTCAACTGCACATAAACATCAGGTTCCAATTTTAGATATTCTATCACTGGTTGGATGGAGTATTTAGAGGACATTTAGAACATACTATAATAAACCCATTGCACAGTCTAACTCGTCTTCAGAAACATCATAGATAAGAGCCCACATAGATAATACTGTACAATGTCTCAGCTATAACATGCTCGAAGGTGGGAGACGATCGATCAAGAATAAGCGAGATACGTTCAATGAGTATAAAAATAATTACTTCATGAATAAAATTTCAGTTTTTTTTAATTCAGATGGCAATATGATGACGTCACAATGTCTGATCAGCCATAATGATCTACTGTATAAAATCATATCTACAACTCATGTGCTTTTCAGAATATTGGGGGTTACCTTTCATCCTAAGGAGCTATAACTGATTAAAAATAGGCATAATTTTAATCTATATAAATTTTGACGCACGCGTACGCGCATGGAAAATTCAAGTACATGACATTCAACCTTGACCTGAAGTTTATGCCCACTGAATATGATTCAGAAATGACGAATGGTTAATATGATATGGGTCATCAAAGTTTTGAGGAAAGAAAGATGAGGGTGGTCAGAAAAAAAAACATTTATTTTGACCATGATGACACCATCAAAATGTAAAAAAAACGTCACATATCAATTGTATCAGCTACAACATACTCAAAGTTGGAAGACGTTCGATCACGGATAAGCGAGATACGCTCAAATGCACATCTTGGAAAATGATGTCATAGACATTGGACAGCTCACCGTGACTATTCCAGGCCAAGCCAAATGTTCGTTGAAGCGAGCATGTTTGTAGCTCATTGCAATTTTGAGATATCATGCGAAAAAGGAAATGGGGAGAAAGAAGGAATTTTAAAAAAAATCTGCTCATGAAGCGGATCGCCAATTAGATTAAACTCCATGCGATCGCAGTGCAGCATCTACCATGGTCGGTACACTGAGAGACAAACTCCTACTCCTAATGTCCCATCCAAATGATGAGATAATTAAAGCAAAGCATCTTGTCAAAGGACACAAGCATGTATGGCATTGGCAGGTTTTAAACATGGTCCCTCTCACACAAGTCCAATCTCTTTCTGGCAGTGTTTGGGCAATACACGGGCAGACAATCTCCTACTCGTTAACAATGTGAACTGTGTTCTTTAACATACTAATATTGTACATGGGACTAATAGTTTAAGCATCTTTTCGGGTAGACAGTACAATATTTTTATACTTTCATTTCAGCCCTCCACCTGAAACACAAGAAGAGCAGCGAATGGAAATAAACCAAGCACCAAAGGTTAACAATTAGATCACCATGGTTCAGCACACACACACATACCCACACACACACACACACACACAGTAGCTACCACAAGTTTACCCGACTGAGGTATGCTGCTCTAATAGTTACCTTATTCTTTGGTAGAATTATGGGCCAGGATTTCGGTCATAGGGGAAAGTTTCTACAAAGAGCCCACAAACTTTTATGATGTTTGGAGTATAATTTTATGTACCAATAACCTAATTGGCATAATTAGCCCAACAGCATGGTTCTTTATGGTACTTTACAATACACTAGACTTTGCAATGTTATATGCAAGCAGATTAAAATGAAAAGGCACCATAAACCAACCTGGGACTGGTGAGAACCTGGCTGTGTCATTGAGGCATGAGATGTTGCCACTTGTTTTTTATTACCACGCAACTGATGAACTGCATGCTTCAAAGATGGAAGAATCATGTCTAGACACTCCTGATTAAATAGTAAATATATAAATATAAATATAAATGTTCATGGTTATTAGGGATTGTGGTAGAGATGGTTATGGGGGTGACGATGGGGACAGTGGTGGGTAGCGGCAGTGAGGGAAGCAGAGGTTGGTGATGTTGATTACAATAGCGGCAGAGGGGGTGGATGTGGTGATAGCGATGGTGGTGGTAGCGGTAGTAGTAATTTTAGATGTAGATGTAATAAATATCAGTCGTACCTTTGACCCTTTAGCACTGCCAGGAAGATTAACTATAAGAGTTTGTCCACGAATTCCACAAACAGGCCTATTAAAAATGATAAAGACATAAAATGGAATATTTTTTGAAAGCAAAAACTCTTCCTATTATAGAAAGAAAGAAAGACATAGCAGCAATTATTAACATTTAAGGAATATTGCTTACCTAGAGAGCATCGCAAAAGGTGTTATTTTCAGAGAACCTACAAGCATGGCAACAACAAGACCAGGAGCCTCCTTGTCTAACACTTGCCTTGTAGCCTGAAAACAAAAATTTAATTTTTATATATTTTTTTGTATCAGTTTCAAGATGGATAATTATACAGAAAAGTAATTCAAGGTACTATAGGGGCAGTAGTACTTTGAATTATTTTCTATAATTCAAGATACTAACAGTAGAGCTGTTTTAGACAGAGCTGCTATTCTTACCAACTGCTACTCTTGGCGGTCGGAGGGTTCGCTAAACAAGGTATTAAAATTCTTGCTAAGGAGTAACATTGTGGGAATATGACCTGCTTTCATTTCAGACACACTTTAGAATGCACTGTAATGGAAATATTGCAGTAATATTACTAGGTCTGAGGAGGAACGCCGCATAACCAAACATATTGTGGCTGCAGTTAGCCATGATTTCAAACAGAAGGCAATGATGGGAAGATTCCTGTAATATTGCAGCAACGTAGCTTTGTATGAAAGTGGCTTAAGAAGAGCCAAGGAAAGGAGGAAGCATTTAGTTTGTGTCAACATACAGTACTACATTGACCAAAAATGTCAAGGAAAGAGAAAAGAACATTCTGGCAAGTAAGCTAACAGCTCCTGTTTTTACTTTATTACTTTAATAAACTGACATCTCCAACACAATTTCCCTTTTCTTTTTATTCTACTTTTATCCTAGTCTAATTTTAGTCCTGAGAAATATCTTGGTGTCACAGGACATTAACCCACAACCCTAGGAGCACGAAAAGCAAGCATTTTAACCACCAAGAAACAGCTCACTCCAGATGCATCTTACAAGAAGGTGGGAAACTAGTGTGCGATAAATTCATTGACCTACTTCTGGTGTCACATCTCGGGCAGTGAATCCAGTTCCCCCTGTTGTAAGGATCACGTTCAAGTTTTCAGTACTCCAGTCAACTAAGGTGTTCTAAAATTGAAGATAGACAATTCTATTACTAATATAACTATAACACAAAAAGATTCATTAAGGAATATTTCAAAAACAAAAGGATAAAGTCTGTCACATATTTCAAAATACAGAACACTGCTTTCCTGGTATGATTCTATGCGAGAAATATATTTTAAGAATAGTAAAGATATAAAAATAAGGGAAACTACCTTAATTTGTTTTATTTCATCTGGTACTATTGAATATTTGACTACTTCACCTACAAAAGATCTACAATGAGGACAAAAATAAAAAATTATGTTATTTTATCAGAATTTTACAGGGTATACTGTAAACCTCAAAAAGAAACCCACAGGATTCAGTCTCTAACACAGTGTATAATTAAGAGACATCAAATAACCTACATTGTTCATTCTGTTTACTTGACATTCATTCACAGTTTAATGTAAGTACTATATCAAAAAGAAGCGCATCTAGAAACGAGGGCTTTTTTCTTTCTCCCCCCCCCCCCTTTTCTAAGTTAAAAGAGAGGGGCATCTTTTTGAGTTTTAGCCCACTGGGCTTCTTTTTGAGGTTTTAAGTTATATCTATATATACAATTTACATTTATGTTAGGATTTATATAGTGCAAATCCACAAAACTGCCCAAGGTGAATTTTTTCACTTGTCATTGGATACAGAATCAAACATAAACAACATGCAACCTCCTCCACTCCCTAATTACATTTCAAATTATTCACCTCCTATCAGGTACCCATTTATACTCCTCAGTGGCATCTTTAGGAGGGGGGGGGGAGGGAGAGCCTGATGGAATGTGAAGGTGAGGAGAGGGGGGTTGAGGTGGTGCTCAAAGATTAGGTGAGGGGAGGTATCGTAGCTCCTAAAATCAAAATAATGTGATTTAAGGTGAATTTTTAATACTTGAGCGTGATTTCCGTGCATTCCCGCTGACCCCTTAGATACATCCACAAGCAGTATGACTAACATATATCTCGAACCCCCACCTTACACACTGAGCCACACATGCTTTTTTGTACGGGAGGGTAAAACCTTTGCTTCGAGAAAGACCACAAAAAAAATCAATAGATTGCTTGCAAGTAGACAGCCAACAAACTGGCTATCAATGACGCAGACAATCTTTAAACAGAAGACATGCTCACAAAATTGTACAGTATATCCACTTTCATTTGTTGTACTGTATATAATTCCTTGGTTTCACCCATATGTGAGTATGCCTGGGCTGTTTGGAATCCTCACATCAAGTCAGACATCGACAAGATTGGATCCATTCAGAAAAAACTTCACTCATTACTGTCACTTAGTATGGACAACTGTTAAGTATTAGGAGGGTGCACTGCATGCAGAAACCTACATCTAGTGCTTCAAGTTACTTGGAAGAATGCTGAAAGTTCTCATTTATGATTGCTTGCATTTTAGCCAATATCTTAAATGGTACTTTTACTACAGTAAGTGATCACAAAAGTATTTTTGAGGTGTCAAATTATTATACGCACATAATGTAGCGTAGTGTATTAAAATTCCACTAAAATTAGGGGTACATTTATGGTGGAGCCCTTTGCATGAAGATTACTAAAAAAAACCAGATTGCTTGTATTTAGGCCTATGCCACAATTTTCTTCTTCAATAAAATTGCTTGAAAGTGTTCTATACAAACCTTTCTTTGTCTTCAACAATCTGCTTCAGATTCAATCCACTTTTATCCTGGGCTGTGTTGTTGAAACAACTATCACTAACTGCAATAGAATGCAAATATCTCATAAATCTTCTGTCAAAACAGAAATCATTTAAATAAAATATTAGTCTCAAATATGATTTTTACTATAATGCAACATAAGTTAAAAAGTATCATTCATAACAAAATCATTAAACTTTCAGTACACTATTTGTAAAAAATCATGGTCTTTGATGTAAATCCAATTGTGGGTTGTCTTGATATCAGATTACTCTGACCGTCATTAGGAGGCTATGGTCAGAGTAATCTCA